CTGAGCTCTCCCCTTTTTGCCTTCTCTTCTCCAGGCTGACCCCCCCCAACTCTCCCAGCCTGTCCTCCCAGCAGAGGGGCTCCAGCCCTCCCAGCATCTCCGGGGCCTCCTCTGGCCCCGCTCCACCAGGTCCATGTCCTTCTTAAGCTGGGGACTCCAGAGCTGGACACGGCACTCCAGGTGGGGTCTTCCCAGAGCGGAGTAGAGGGACAAGTAGGTGCTGCAGTGTGTTTGTCACCAGGTTTGTCCCCCCTGGCATGAAGCAGGTTCCCAGACAGAGCACGTTAGGGTTGAACAGCCCGTGTTCCTGAGGAAGGGCACGTGCTTCTTTGTCACTCCCATCTGTGGCAGCAGCTCTCAGGCCAGCGGGCGCCTCGTGGGGAAAGCTGCTGGCAAGCGTGAGTATGCAGGATCCTCTGTCCAGGAGGCACTCGGCATCCCGAAGCTCCTTCCTCGAGATGTGGAGTCACAGCTTCTCCCCAGCCTGGCTCGGGGTGAGCGCGTCCTGCCCCGTGTCTGGGGATGGCACAACTGGGGGTGCAGCAGCGGGTCCCTGAGGCACGGCTGAGCGCTGTGGGAAGAGGGGCTTTCCCAGCCCCTGTTGGCATGTTCGAGCCCTGGAGCATTTCTGTGCCGCTTTTGTGTTCCCAACGGCTTTTCCTTGGCATGATTCAGGGAAATTCCTGCCTGGACCTCTCGTGCATCTCTGTTATGTTCTGTCCCTGTTCCTCTTGGGATGGGTGGAGGTCCCCCAGGGACCAGCAGCCCTCCGCGTCTCCTTTTTCCTCCAGTGACATCTGCCCCAGATGCGTTTGTGCCCCGCGTGGCTCTGCCTGGGTCATGCTTCTGATTTTACCTACCCAAAGCTTCCTGGTGGGGCTGTTCATCTGCCTGTGGGTGTTTATCACTCAGCCTCTTTCTGGATCTGTCTTGGCACCTCCGGCCCCACTTTGAAGTTTTCTCACGGGGGGTCAGGCTCAGCCCGGGGGTTTGCAGTCGTGGGCTGACAGACCGCTCCGGTGAGCGGGGTCCAGCCCTGGAACCAAGTGTTCTGAGTCTCCTCGCTGGCAGCGTGTCTGCCCTGACCGCCGGCCTGCAGCTCAGCTGGGGTCCTGGAGAGGGGTGTGCTCCTGCTCAGTGCCACCTCTGCCTCCTCTGGAGCAGGCAGCGGTTCCGGAGGCTCCGGGAGCGGGACGCCCAGGGTGGGAGCGATGGGCAGCAGCTCTGGCTGGAGGCGGGAGTGCCGGGGGGCTGCTCCCCGGGTTCAGCCTGCCTTGTGGCGTCGGTGTTTTTCTCACCTTTCTGAGAGTGTGTTCAGTGACAGGAGAAGAACAAGTTCTGTGAAGAGACCGGTGCGGTCTCCTATCGCTTTCCCAAAGCCTCGGAGAGTAAATGCTTCTGCTCGTGAGGACGGCGTATGTGGTTCAGCCCAGCGTCGCTGGCCAGGCTGTGCTGTGCTGCGCAGAGCGAGAGAGAAAGCATCTCCCATTTTGCAGCCAGTGGAGCCATTCACACAATCACCTTCTGTTAATTCTATCTGCAACATCAATTAAATTGTTTGTAGAAACTAATTGAATGTGGCTTAATCACACATCTTAATAGCTTTCCACGCTTTGAACTCGTTGTTAATTCCAGTAATAAAATGAAATGAGAGAACTGGCTGGGTAATTAGCGAGGAGGCTTGGGAAGAAATTGCTGTTTTATAGCATGTAATAAAAGCAGTGCGCTGGTGACCGCTCTCTCCGTCAGGCAGCCGGCTACCGCAGCAATTGTGCTGAGTTAGGGAAAATCCTCCAGCCCCTCCGAGGTTCCCTGCCCAAGGGTGCTGCCAGGCTCCCACCCAACGGGGGACAGCCCGGAGCAAGGTTGGGTTGGGCTGGTTATCTAGGTGGTGCCCAGGGCACCAAAGGCTGCACGCGTGTGGTTTGAGGTCAAGTCACGCCGGGGTTGGGAGCAGAGGGGTGTGCTGCCACACCGCCCGGTCCCTCGGGTTTGCTCCGAGGACGGGATGGCTGGGCAGGGGTCTGTGGGCGGAGAAGAGTTCCAACCAAGGTGTTGAGGTGCTGCTGAGGGGTTGTAACCCTGTAACCCTGGCAGGTAGCCACCTGCGACCACAGAGCGTTGCCCGTACAGTCCCCATTCACCTGCGTCCTGGAGCCGAGGACTGGGAAAATGGTTGCTCTTAAACCGATCTTGTTCGTGGTTTTATCTCCTTGGATTTGGAAGCAGACAGGGACCAGCTCTGAGTTAATCTTTTTAGTGACCTGCTTGTGAACTGGAGCAAGCCCAAGCCCTGCGGCAGCCGCAGTCTCTCCCTGGACGGTTGCTGCCGCGGCTCTCCTGGTTGCAGCGCACATCCCCAGCGCAGAGCCGGGGGGGATGCGCCCACGTCGTGGTTCCCCCCAGAGTCTCTAGCTCAGCTTTCAGCCCCTGCTCCCTTGAGGTCTGCCCAGGGCAGGGCAGTTCCCTGCCATGCGTCTCTCTGGAGGTCATGTTGGTCAGGTCTTCTTGGGACATGAGCCCCAGGGAGAGCCGGCCGCATCGGAGAGGGTCTGGGGAGAGCTGCAGTGCCCTGTGGGGCAGGGGGGGCTGGAGGGCATGGGACAGGACACAGCTCGCAGCAGGGGCTAGAGGTCTGCAGCTTTATTTCGACCAAAAAGATGAGATGCTATGGGAGGCAGTGCAGAATGATATTAACAGTCTGCGTGTGGAGTTTTTGATCACACAATAAAGACTGTACCAGAAGGAATGGTTTTTCAAAGAAGTTTTAAATAACTTAACGCTATGCAGGTGAACGTACAAGGGAGTTATCCTGAGTTGTGTTGGTTTGGGCTTGAATTGTGCTAGCTGTGAGCCGAGAAGGAATTCCCAGGTATGCCATTACTTACATTATGTTATGTTATGTTATGTTATGTTATGTTATATTATGTTATATTATGTTATATTATATTATATTATATTATACTATTATTTGCCCTAGCTGAGTGCTGTGATTAAAAAGACAACAAATGACAGGGAAGAACAACTGCCTGCCACCCATGTGCTCTTTGGCTCCATCTAACCTCTGATCCCCAGCCAGATTTTCACAGACGAGCTTGTTGTGGCATCTGACTGCCCGTGGCAGCATCCCGGCGTTATTCATATCAGGGCTGACTGGTTCTGGGCACTGAAAGTGTGACCTGGCACTTCTCCGGCACCAGTTCTAGTGCACCAGCTAGCGATGGGAAGAAGGCAGGTCGGAGTCAAGGCTTTGCATCCACGTGGCAGAAAATGGTGGGCTGTGGACACTGGGGAAGTCGTAGGGTCCTTTACCTCTCCCCCGCCTGACTTGAGACTTCAGTATAGTGCAAGAGGAACGGGCATGGGATGAGCTCCCAGGTCACCTGCAAGGTGCTGGCTGACCGTCTGGCTGGGAACCAGTTCCCGTGTGGATGAATGGAACCAGGTTTTAGTTTGGATTACGTGGATGAGAGGGGAGCTGAGAGCGGAGGGCCGGGGCAGGGCTGATCCTCAACCTTTCTGCCTCTCTGCTGTAGGATTACATGCAGAACGTCCACGGGAAGGAAATCGATCTGCTGAGAACTACAGTGAAGGTACCGGGCAAGCGGCTACCCAGGGCGACAACGGCAGCAGCCCCCAGCGCCAGCCCCAAAGCCAACGGGCTTGCGAAGGAGCGGAGCAGCACGCAGCTGACGGGAGGCACAGGTAAGCGTTGGTGTGGGTGTCGGAGCTGGCGGCTGTCCTCCCCTCTGGTGCGTCAGCAGTGCCATGCTTTGCTGAGCTGGAAACAAAAGCTGTTGCGGAGTTTCTTCCTTCCACCACTCTCTGTGAGTGCCTTCGGTGGGTGTTGGTGTTTCCGTGCGGGTCTCAGGTAAGCTCCTGTTGGGATTTCATGCTGGTCAGTGTCCAGGACAGAAGAAAGAGTAGAAGGGCTTTAACTAGTGGTCTGAGCTCCCCGAGAGGAAACAGTCGAGTCTGGTGAGTTGCTGTGCGTCGGGGAGGCTGTTGCTCCCTAAAACAAAGGAAATCTCAGCCAGGGATGTCTCTTGATCCCTGGCAAGTTCTCTTCTGTTTATTTCCTTTTTCGTGGCCCCCTTTTCCCTCCTCTCTTTCCCCTGGAGAAATAGTAACGTGAGGGGCTTGGTTGGTAATTACTGTTCTTGTGTGCGCGCACTCAAGAGGCACAGCTGGCAGAGCGTGGTGAGAGGAGGTGAGGTTGGGACCCTCTCTGGTTTCTCCTGGAGTTCATGCCACACTGCGTGCTGCTTCCCCTCCCACAGGAGGTGTCTCGCCCTTGGAGCGTTCCTGCCCAAGTTACCCAGAGCATTGACATGCCTCTACTTTGTCCTCGGGGTTGGTATCCTTGGCCAGGATGGACAGGTTCCACACCCGCTCTCCCCAGCCAGCTGTTGGCAGTAGTCTGGTCCAGCAGGGGACGGATACCTCTCCGCTCTTTGGGATAATGTGGGAGTGCTGGTAATGCTGCTGATAACAAAAATCCTTCATAATCTGGTACTGCACGCTGTGCCACCGAGAATGAACTTGGGTGACCACATCCCATTGATGAGGAATTGGCTGGATGGTCACAGCCAGAGGGTAGCGGTCAACAGCTCAATGTCCAGATGGAGATAGGTGACAAGTGATCTCCCTCGGGGGTCTGTACTGGGACCAGCACTGTTTAATATCTTCATCAATGACATATACAGTGGGATCGAGGGCACCCGCAGCAAGGTGGTGGACAACACCAAGCTGAGTGGTGCGGCTGACACACCTGAGGGAGGGGATTCCTATCTAGAGGGACATGGACAGGCGGGAGCAGTGCGCCCTTGTGAACCTCATGAGGTTCAACAAGGCCAAGCGCAGGGTCCTGCACACGGGTCTGGTAAAAACCCAGTCCCAGCACAGGCTGGGGATGGAGGGGTGGAGAACAGCCCTGCCGAGAAGGTCTTGGGGGTGCTGTGGGGGGAAAGCTGGCCATGAGCCGGCAACATGCGCCGGCAGCCCAGCGAGCCCCCGGCAT